TACATTGGTGTTATGAAGGTAATTTAATACCTGCATTGCCCGTTTGAAACCTGCATCAGGTATACAATTCGCTGGCTTTCGAACTATTCAAAATGATTACTGTAAAGCATTTTTTGTAATTTCAATGAAACAGAGAGTGCCAGATATAAATAAATTGATTGATTTTAAAATAGATTTAGATAACAATTACATTTTCTTATTAAAACAATTTGAATATAATGCCCACTTTGAGTTTTGCTTAAAATCTGCTATCTGTATGGAATTTGTCAAAAACGCTTAATTTTAATCATTACTTTAAAATCACTATTTTGAAACATTTTTTGTCATTATGATATTTGAAGTCTCCTTTAAAAATTTTGCAACCAGTTTTTAGACATTTATTTTAAAACAACCAGATTTCTCTTAAAATGTCAATAAAAAATAGTTAAGGCATAAAAAAAAAGTTTATACCCCATTAGGTATAACATTCTTTATGCTTCTTCATTACTAGGCCGATGTAGTCTGATGTAGGGGCATCGCTAACACCGAGCATCACCACCGACTGCCACAATTATTTTCGTGGGGTCACGATTTCATTGTTTGTAGAAATAGTATTGGTTCGTGGGGATTTAATTTCGTGAATGATGAATAAATGAGTAGTTACCGGTATGTATACAGTTGTATTTTATATTTCGTAGTCATGAATTCGTGGATCACTACATTCCTCGAAAACAACGGAAATCCCCCCCCCCTCCCCCCCCCCCCCCCCCCAAAAAAAAAAATGTGAGTTCACTTTATTGAAATGAATAACCGTTCATTAATTTATCTGATAAAATCAATTTATGAGTATCCCTCCTTGCTTGTAAAATATTCCTACCGAATTAATCATACAACTTTGAATGAGATGAATTCTAATATTAAATACCACAATTAATACTTACATATTTAGAGGTATGTATTGCAATTAAAAATGTGTCTAACATCAGATTAGGTTTTGAATCAAGACCTCTAATTAAGGCAATCTACCAACATAACTGCTAGTAACTAAACATCTTCTTGACAGTGTAGGCAGCTACATCCATGGTACCTGATCCCATATCGGATGTTTTGGAGGTCTGTATTTATTCTGCTCCAATTTTGTATTGTTTTATGGACTTTTGAGCTTAAATACTGTTCTTTATCTCCATATATGTCATTCCAGAAGTTTTTAATATAATATATAATGCTGCCATGTATGGATACTCATCAAAATATTCTGAGATTTCTTACAATGTTTCTTCCGTTAAGGGTGAGTTTTCATACGAATTTGTAAAATAAAAAACATAATCCTTTTTATCCTTATTTATATTTCTGTCTTAAAACTTATTGGTTTTTTCAACATTTTGTGTTGAAGTGGATAAGTTTTGTGAAAATAGTGAAATCAATCATTCATGAATGAAAATTAAGACGTCTGACATGCATTCATATACTAGCGGAAAAAAGAAACGGTGCATTATAAAATTTAGTGATTTTTGTTTCTATATTTATTGCTTATTTTAGTGACATGTAAACAATTGATAAAGGTGATGTTTTTTAACAATATTAGATAGATCCCGACTCTGATGCAAGGGCTTTTCATCCTTAGTGAGCACAAGTTGTTTATTGACGTGTTCGCATGCACAAGTTTTACTGGCCAAAATTGTTTGGAGAAAGAACTGTATAAGGTTTATTTGGATTCTATTTGTTAAGAAAAACACTTTAGTTGTGACAAAAGTTACCCGTTTGTCATGTCACAACTCAGCGAAAACCAACGTAATATTGCTGTTGGGATACTTCAAGCTGGAATGGCACAAAATATCGTTTCAAGACACTTTGGAGTTCATCTTTACACCATCCAATCATTATGGACACGTTTTCAACAATCTAGAAACACTCGGGATCGACCACATTCTGGTCGTCCTCGCATGACGTCGCGTCGACAGGATAACCACATTAGACTCGTGCATCTGAGAAATCGGTTCCAGACACCAAGTTTGACTGCTAGAAACATTTTTGGACTTCGACCAATGACTGCGCGTAATCGTTTTTGCGAGCCCACAGACCAAGACGTCCAGCTCTGCGCCCAGAACTACTTCAATGTCATCGTATTTCTAGACTTGCATGGCGCAGACGACATCTGCAATTCAGAATACAGGACTGGGCCAATATTCTGTTTACGGAAGAGTACAGATTTCATTTGAATAGCAGTGACGGCCTTTGTAGAGTGTTTCGTCGCACTGGGGAGCGGTACCAGGAGGCTTGCGTTTTGCAACAGCGACAGTTTGGTGGGGGGTGGGGTGGAATCAAAGCACGTGGAAGGACCCTTCTTCAAATTGTCAATGGAAGTCTCACCGGCGCACGTTATCGAGACGAAATTATTCAGCGCCATGTGATACCCTTCATACAGGGACAGCAAAATCACATTACGCTACAGCAAGACAACGCACGACCACATATTGCAGTCAGGGACGTTTTTGTTAAACAGCATGTGGATGTCTTTCCTTGGCCTGCTGTTTCCTCTGATTTATCACCGATTGAGCAAGTTTGGGATGAAATGGAACGACGTCTACGTCTGTGACGTTGGTTGATTTAGGCCAGGCCTTAACCCACATCTGGAACAACATCCCCATAAGCATTTCTGAACACGTTGGTGTCATAAATGAGGCGTCGTTGTCAATCATGCGTGAATGTAATTGGTGATCACACACGATATTAAATTTGTTAGTTTAAGTTTGAATACAAGTGTCTTTCAAGTATTCTTAAATTGACGTTGTTTGAAGTTATGGCTAATGGGTTATGAATTGTTGTATTTGCATGCATTAGTTAATAATATTTCTAGAAATAAAAATTTGTTCCGTGATGCTTTTAGTATCTATTCATGTAAGAAATAATGCACAATTTCTTTTTTCCAATAGTATAATAAATTTTTCGGTTACATGTCGCCTGCGAGCAACTTCTACATAGTTAAATATTCAAATATAGAACCCCAAGGAAAGGTAATTAAATGCTGCATACCAATAAAGGGATTCAAAATCAGAAAACTAGATGGTGTTGTACCAACTGAGTGCACATCCGGCCTTACAACAGCAGATTTATATTTCTTTTAAACCAACATGCCCTTAATTAACAAGCATGACAATTTCAACATGATCATTTTATTTTCAATATGGAAGAATAATACTCTCGATAAGATAATTGATGCGAAGAATGTTATATATTTTTTTTATTTCCCCATCACATGAATATGGTGATCAATAAGTTCACAGCCAAGGTTGGGGAGCCTTGGATTCTGCAAACTAATTTGACAAACTCCTTATATGAAACATACATATTGTAACAGGTGAAGTTTTTATATTCAAAAGATAATTTTACAGAATTGAATATAAACTGAAATGTGTAAAAAGATATTGGAGGGAAAAGTGTCTTACAAATCTACACTGGATTGAAACATCGATTAATTATGTTCTCCAAACGAAGTTGGGGAACATATTGTTTATTCTATTTTTCTTCTTATTGCTATTATTAATTTTATTTTTCTTCTCCCTAGGAAAATTTTGTACCCGAGTGATCTTGCAAACTACACATCCGACTAAGGTGAAATGTTTTTAGAGTAAGTAGACATGTTATGTTGATTTCCCAAAACAAAAGTCATTTTGCACGTACTTGCTTGCAAGAGCGCTCACGTGCAACATGAGAAATAATCAATATAATTGACTTAGACGTAATTTTTTCATTTTTTTTATGAAATACGTTGAAACTAATAATATGAGGATATATAAGTCGCAAAGACAAGATGACATGTTTAAAATAGCAACATTTCACGCTCATGCACGTGCACATCGCTCTGATTGGCTGAAACTAAAGAATCAACATCTTTCTTGCTATTTGATAAATCCTTTGAAATTTTAACACAGCCATATATTAGGGAGATCTACAGCTTGCTATAGAAGAATTAGAATGTTGGCATGCAAATACACGTGTGCTTGCAAGAGCGCGCACATGCAACACGAGAAATGTCCAATATAACTGACATAGATAAAACTTTTAAACATTTTATTGAAGTGGTTTGAAACTCATAATATAAGGATATATAAGAAGCATACACAAAAGGACATAGTCAAAATAGCAAGGTCTCACGTGCATGCACGTGCACTTCTCTCTGATTGGCTGAAACTAAGGTCTCAATATATTTGTTTTTTTTTTTAATTTTCAACATACTTATACATTATTAAGATGTACATGATATATAAGAAATATCATGAAGGCATGCACAGGCATGTGTGCTACAATCTGATTGGCTGAAACTTTAAATGCCTATAACTTTTTTAGTTTAAAACAAATCGGGATGAAATTTAAAATATGATTAGGTAAAATGAATTCTTAGTGATCAGGGAAATCAATTTCACAACGAAAGCTTTTTAAAAGATAAAATTTATCATAATCATAATTTCACATAAAATTAATGTCAAGAAAGCTACTAAACAAGTCAAACTTGTACAAATAAAAAAAGAGGTTTCGAGGTGGATAATAATAAACATTATTTCAACCCTGTTACAAAGCCTTCCTTTGTTTTTTAAAGATATATTAATACGTTCTCTGTCTATACGTAAATCAATGCACATGTCCACAAAATGATATATTTTCTTTTTTCATAAAGCAATTGATCGGAGAGGTCAGAAATGATGTTAATTAAAAGAAAATCGTGTTAAACACAAGTCATAAATTTCCTGGTATAAAACCTAACAAATCTATTATTGAAACCTTAATTTTGCAATGTATTCCTAACAGGCAGTGGAAAAAAAACATACATTAAAATGAAAAGTGTTGAAATTGAAGTATCAGAGAATTTTTTATATGCAAACATGAATACTAAAAGCAACTAAAAATGCCTATGCGATCACGACACAAGTATTACTGGGTATATTTATAGGATATTCATCTTTTAAAATTGATGCTCACATATCGAATATATTGAACATGAATTTAAGATATCACCACCGCGCCGCACAAAAGGTACGTGTATTTTTTCCCTGTTTTTATGGGTTCATAAGAAGAACTGTTAAAAACTAAACATGGATTTAACCCTCTCAATTCCATATCTCAACAATGTTTTTTTTTTCCATTTTCCTACCTGTTGTTTTCGATAAATCATCTTTAGCTTTCTGCATATTCTGCCCAAGGTTTTCGACACTCATCAATTTGAGCAAATTGTTTGATTTCATAAAGCATCTTTATTCTTTTTTCATAGCCTACTTGCTTATTGATTTCTTCTGCTTGTATCATTTGATCGATGTGTTCAACAGTTGAAAGAGGATCAGGTCTCAAAGCTATATCTTTTAACCTATTTTTGCACATCGCCATTTCGTCCATCATTGAACTTATCGTATCAAAAAGGCAATATATGTCAGTCTCAATTTCTTCTAGATATTTTTCATGTGTCATTTTTTCCCCTTTTGCCTTTTCGTAAAGTTTTTTCTTTTCCTGATAAGTTTCCACTTTTTTCTCGGTGACATATTTAAAAATATATTTCCCGTTTTTGTGTTGTTTCCAGTGGCACTTGCCGGTACAGACCTTGCAATTACCCTCTGAATCCATTGCAGAGCAACGGCATTTTTGGTCTTCATCGGCAAATTCACAGTTCTCATGACAAGAAATGTTGCAAATGAGACAATTGGTGACATGTTGCCCTACAGGGAGTTCAAGTTTGACTTGTTTTGTGATTTCTGCTTCATACGTGAAATCCTTGTTACTTTCGATATCATTCTGATGCTTTTTGAAAAGCGTTAATGTATTTTGTAATTCATTAAGTTTCATTAGATCTGCATTTACTTGGGGTTGGATATTTGTTAAAACCAACTTTAAATGCTCTCTTTGTTTCAGCATGTCTTTGGTTTGCATAAGGCTCTTTGTTTTAAATGATTTCATTTTTTCAAAGAAATTTTGAAAGCTTTTACAACACATGTCCCAAAACAAAGGGGAAAGAGAGGTGTTCTGCAAATTCCTATTACTTGCAAATAAAGCAGAATTATTAAAAGGAAAACAAAACCCAAAAGGAAGATTGGCTGCTTTTAGACAAGAGAGAACGAGGGGTTCTGCGCCATCAGCGAAAGTGATCAGAGTACAAATGTTTGATTCAATATCTTTTCCAAAAAGGGACAAGATTGAATTAAAAAAATACTTCTGAGCAACTGTAAGACGTGCGTTGGGGGCTTTGACAATAAAACAAACAGCATCTATAAATGCTACACCTTGTTTGCCTTCAGTTGAAAATAAATGTCTTATTTGATCAAGGATGGCCCCGTCTCTCTGGATTCCGCGGATATCTCCAAATCCTGGTGTGTCTATAACATTAAGGGTGTAGTCCAGTCGGCTTCCTTCTTGTGGAGCAATTTTGTATACGGTGATCCACTCTGTTTGAGATTCCGCCTAAAAGAACAATAGCAATATATACATGCGTCATTCAAAATTACATAGACGATGTTCCTAATCGTCATAATATTATTACAAAATTATAGATCAACACATTTCCATAAATAAAAACATTTATTTTGTCTACGTGTGAAGTTTAGGGGGTGGGGCTATTATTCAAAGTTTTGTATGTGTGAAAGAGAGAGGGAGGTTGTGTGAGGATGAAGGTTAGAGGATGTTTTTGATGGTGAGGGAGGGTGTGTGAAGATGAGAGTGTGAGTAAGGGTGTGTGTGCATGTGTTCAATAATTTATACTTTGATCTCAAAGTAAACAAGGGTATTTTAAGCTCATAAAATATTTTACGTAAAATTTCATTACAAAAGCTGATTCCAGCAATCCAAGGAAAAACTCTTAAAGACACGGAATAAGAATTTCCTGATAATATGCACAACCACATACAGTGTTTTAAATATCTGCAAAGTTTGACCAGAATCTGTGCAGCGGTTAAGAGGAAATAGACCGACGAACTGTTTATCTCTCTATTGAAAATATGGTTTTAGTGGTAGAGCGTTCGCTTCGTGATCGGGAGGCCCCGGTTCGATTCTCTTTCGCGACGCCGCGTCAAACCTAAGACGTAAAAATAGGAAGGGACTGTTCCTTCGCCAAGCGCTCGGCATCAGAAGTTAAAGTCACGGGTCTTTCGGATGGATATGGAAATAACGAACAGTATTCAATCTCAACGTCCATTAAACAAATATACAAAATAAGAGCAGAGCAAACACGGACCTCCGAAACATCAGAGGTGGGATCAGGTGCCATGGAGGAGTGAGCATCCCCTGCCGACCGGTCACACCCGCCGTGTGCTCGTTGTCATAATCAGGAAATAACGGAAAAAATCCGTGGTCAATTCAGTGTATAAATAATGGACTAAGAATTGGTATGAAAAACGTCAGTCAGCATTTCATTCAATGATAAATTGTATTTGCTGACAAGGTCATTGTATCGACCATAGAATTTACGAAATGATGACGTTAAACGAGACTCTTGATATTCTTGTTTCATCAACTTGCTTGTCAATGATTTACCTCGTTTAACAAATTGTTCATACGTAGAGCATGCTCTTGCATATCGAATCAACTGAGATATAAATACTCCGTATGCAGGTGATGAAGGTATATTGCTGCATAAGTAAGGGAAGTTGACGATAGAAAAGTTAAAGTCATCACGTTTATCATATAGCTTGGTTGTTAGATTACCATTAGTGTCTTTTTCAAGTAAAATATCCAAATATGCAAAAATATCCGGATATGACCTTAAAAATGTAGTACCCGTGTCACGGTAGGCGCTGACACAATAAAGAACCCTCACTTCTCGATGGCTCTGGGTGCCGAATATAGGTTTAAATTTGAAGCCCTTCATACGCTGACTTCTCCATATACGTGAAAAATTCTCGAGAGGGACGTTAAACAATATACAATCAATCAATCAATAAAAATATGGCAAAAAGCCTAAGTGAAAAAATGCAGAAATTCCCGGAAATATAAAGGAATTGGAATATCCTGGTAATATGCACATCTATACTCTTTGTGTACTAAAGTCCCTGTCACATAAAGCTGCGTTCACACGGAGTCATTACGGCGTTTTTAATCTTTTTCAAATCCCCGTGTAATTGCAGGGTAATTGCACAAATTTCTGTAAAATTTTCACAATGTGTAGATATCATGGCGTCCCTACGGCGAAGGACGTGCACTCACGGCATTTGACTGCGCTTCCTCGAAGATTTCACGAGGTGTTAGAAGTTTTCACCTTGTGTTCGCCGCGTTCTCATTGCGCTGGTAGCGTTCAAAATACGTTCACAATGCGTTCTATAATCATTGATATAAATGTTTATTGAGAAGGAATGTTAAACATTTTTGTTTAAAGATTTAAGCTAAACGATGAAAAGACTTCTACTCATGTCAACATGTAATTTAAAATGTTCAATTTGATTGATTTATTAAATTAAGTACTAAATCATTAATAGTTTTATGATTGATTTAATAATGAATGTAAAAAAAATAAATACACTGAAAAGATGCTACAAAATGAAAAGTAACACAAGAGAAACAGTTCTGGTGTAATTTTCTATTTCATGCTATACTAAAATGCTCCTAGTGCAACAAATACGATAGAATTGTTGCTGATCAAATATGATGTCATTGCTCTTGTTTTGTGAGCTGGCTGTCTACGCCTTAACGAGGCTGTGAAAGCGCATTGTGATCGCCAAGGGACGCTGTAGAAACGCCAAGGGAACGCTATGATCGCAGTGACAACTCCGTTTTGTCGTTGTGTAAACGCAGTCAAAATGATAACAAGACGAAGTTTCTCATTACAAGCTCCGTAAAAGTGCGATAGAAACGCAGTGACATCTCCAAGGACTTTGAGACATCTCCGTGATATCTCCGTGGAAGCAAAGTTCACTATCACTGCGTTCATGCTACGATCATGTGCGTCTTATACATTATACCCAGGTAAATTAATTGGATTTAAAAAAAATAGAGTAAAAATATAGACATTTTTCTGCCAATTTAAATAATCAAATGACGGAAAAATAACATTGTTAAGTTTTATCCAAAATAAATACTTTTGAGATTTTATTTACCGTTTTTAATATTTTTTGAGTTTTTTGCATTTTAAGCTAAGTCAATCTGACTCTTATCATCTGAAGGCTATTTTGGCTCAACAATTTTTTGGAATTTACTTTTGGTCGAAATTTATCAAAATTCAGAGGACATGTCTGTGATTGAACTCAAAAAATGGCTTAAGCTTGAGAGCCGATATGATATTGGACTTGTTCCCATACTGCATCTGAATTTTGATATTCCAGAAGTGTTAAGTATTGAAACTCGGTAGTGGTCGAAATTCAGGACACGAATCATAAGAAATTTTTTGCATCGTATTGATTTGTTAAAATATAAGTGATTAATTTGTTAAAACATACTGAACAATATTTGTGTGGAATGGCAAAATCTTAAAAATGATGTCATTAAAAAAAACCCCAAAACGCTGACTTATTATATAAGGGGCCGTTCGGAAAAAAATGTGTAACCAATAATTCTTAAGCAGTCAATATTTTGTTTTACATTACTGAAGAAAAAATGTTTATCTCAAAAATATACAACTATATTTTATGGTTTTTATGTCATATGTCCAAAAATACAAACCAAAAGGGTCAGAAAACTAAATCTTTGACGCATTATATCTAAAAAACGGGAAATATAATGATAAGTAAAATTAAACAGATGTCCAAAATAATGTTCCGAACAATATGTAAGTTCATTTTTTACTAAAGGTCCCCATATAGGAGTTAAAGTGCTGGTTCCTCGATATTTTTTTTTGCAAATATTTCAAAAAAAAAAAAAAAAGAAAATGAATCTCTAAATAGTTGTTGAACAAAAACTATTTAAAATCATGAGGGAAAATCTAGAAAACATAGGCTGAGCACTCAAATTACGGACCGAGATTGGTTAAAGTCTTTAATCGATTACTTTTAAACAGTCAATATTTTGTTATACATTACCAAAGCAAAAATGTTTGCCTCAACAATCTACAACAAATATATATATATATAGAGTTTTGATGTCATATGCTACATAACTAGGAGCACATGGGACCAGAATACTAAATCTTTCACGCTTTATATCTCGGAAATAAAAAAAATGTTTTATTGTTTGTTTTTGTAATATTTAACAAAGCATGTTTAAAATAATAATCTGAACAATATGCACTAATTTTCTTGTTGATAAAAGTCCCCATTAAGGAGTTGTAGGGTTGGCCAAAAATTTTTCTTTTGCAAATATCTCCGAAACTAAAAAAAAGAGTATCTGAGTAGTTGTTGAACAAAAAGAGTTCAAAATTCTGACAGCTTTAAGATGAAATGAAGAAAAAAGGGGTTGATCCCTCATATTTGAGGCAAAAGTCAAACTTTCAAGTTTTTAATGTTCAATATCTTCAACAATGTTCAAAAATCATCATTATTTTTGAATGAAAATAAAATTAAAATCTTATTTCATTTTATCAAGAATTGGACGGAAGCCACACTAGTTGCTAGCAACGAGATTGTATTCAGTTATTATTATTATTATTTTTAAGGCCTTACGTCTTCATCAGCCCTTAATTTTTCCATTATTTTTAGCATCTTCCGTATACAGCGGAAGATCCTTCTATTATTCTTCGGTTTCTTTTTCACTTTTATTTTTAGAGTCTTTTGTCTTTAGCGGAAAACCCTTGTGTTATTCTTCGGTTTCTTTTTCCTTTTTATTATTAAGGAGGTCTTCCATTTTTAATGCTACGGAGGACCTTATTGTTTAGGTTTGGTTTCTTTTTAAGGCTTCACGGAAGACCTTATAGTGATTCTACTGTTTCTTCTTCTTATTATTATTTTTCTGACCCTATCTAATTTTGTGCACGCGATTTCTCGAAGACTACTTGATGGATTTTCATGGAATTTGAAGGAACAATGTGCTGTTATCCGAAGTTATTTTATCCGAAAGATTTTATGAAAAATTTTTCTGGTGCCAAGTTAAGGACAAATTTCTGATTTTAAAATTACATTTTGTCCGCGGTTAATCTCAAGAACGGTACAAGATATCACTGTTAAACTTACAGGGATTATAGATCGTGATAAGTACTTTCCAGGACGCGATCTTTTGTACGTTGTCTCTTCCTGTCCTTACGACAGGCGAATTTAAAAAGTTGAATTTTTTTTTTACTTTTTCGTTTTTCAATATTTTCGAATTATATTGGTATGATAAGCAGAAACCTTTTAAATTAGGCTGAATATATAATTTGCTTTTAAATTGATTGATCAAAACTCGAGATATTAACAAGCAAAAATTTGAAGCGGGACCAAAATGGCGGCGGTCTCTGTCAACTCCGACATTTCGCAAAAGGAGTTAACAGAGGCAGCCGAGTGTTTGCTTGATCGAAAGTAACATATGAAGTAATGAAATGTGAAGGTATACTTGGATTGTTACGA